TTATCTTCACATCACTGTTAACCAGTCAACATAGTAGTAAACTGTTAACTCCTACTTGATTTAATTTTGTTAGTTCTTTTCACATAAATTACTCTGGATTGGACACTTAGGTGAGAAAGATTTGCAATATACTTTTTTTTTTGAGACGGAGTCTCACTTATGTCACCCTCAGTAGAGTGCTGTGGCATCGCAGCTCACAGCAACATCAAACTCCTGGGCTTAAGCAATTCTCTTGCCTCAGTGTCCTGAGTAGCTGGGACTTCAGGCATCTGCCACAAGGCTCGAATATTTTTTTGTTGCAGTTGTCATTGTTGTTTAGCAGGCATGGGCCAGGCTCAGACTCACCAGCCTCAGTGCATGTGGCTCGGGCACTGAAGCCAATATACTTTGTTTTTTTGAGATGGAGTCTCACTCTCTTGCCCTGGCTAAAGTGCCCTGGCGTCATAGCTCACAGCAATCTCAAACTCTTGGGCTCAAGAGATCATCTTGCCTCAGCCTCCTAAGTAGCTGGGACTACAGGCGCCCACCAGAACCTGACTAATTTTTCTATTTTTAGTAGAGATGAGGTCTCACTCTTGCTCAAGCTGGTCTCAAACTCGTGAGCTCAAGCAATCCACCTGCCTCAGCCTCCCAGAGTGCTAGGATTACAGGTATGAGCCACCACACCCAGCCTGCAGTCTTTAAAGAAAAAAGATCTCAGCAGTTATTCTTAAAATATATAAAATATTTTGCTTCCATCTTAGTCATCATTTTTCTGGTTAAGGAAAACTGATACAGTTTTTTCTAAAAAAGAAGCATTAGCTTGGTGACCATAACTCAGTGGTTAGGGCACTGGCCACATGCACTGCAGCTGGTGGTTTCAAACCCAACCCAGGCCTGCTAAACAGTGACAACTACAATTAAAAAAAAAAAAAATGCCTGGTGTTTTGGCTGGTACCTATAGCCCCAGCTACTTGGGAGGCTGATGTAAGGGAATTGCTTAAGCCCAAGAGTCTGAGGTTGCTGTGAGCTATGACGCCATAGCACTCTATTGAGGGCAACATAGATTCTGTTTCAAAAAAAGCATTGGCTCTGCGCCTGTGACTCAAGTGGCTAAGGCGCCAGCCACATACACCTAAGGTGACAGGTTCAAATCCAGCCTGGCCTGCCAAAACCACGACGACAGCTGCAACCAAAAAATAGCCGGGTGTTGTGGCGGGCGCCTGTGGTCCCAGCTACTTGGGAGGCTGAGCCAGGAGACTCGCTTGAGCCCAGGAGTTGGAGGTTGCTGTGAGCTGTGATGCTACAGCACTCTACGCAGGGGGACAGCTTAAGGCTCTGTCTCAAAAAAAAAAAAAAAAAAAAGCATTATCTTTTAAGCAATACTTTCCAGAAAATGTATTTAGAGGGATGTGGCAATAATACTAAGAACTTTAGTAGACAAAAGGAAAAAGGAATGTACTTAAATTAATTCTTACAAATCTATAAAATATGTAGTGATATCCTCATTCTACAGATGGATAAACAAAGGCTAAGAGAGGTTAAGTAATTGTCTGAAGCTCATATCCAGTAAGTGACAGAAATTTAAATGTAGATCTGTCTACTTTCTTTCTTTCTTTCTTTCTTTTTTTTTTTTGAGGCAGAGTCTCAAGTGTTGCCCTGGGTAAAGTGCTGTGGCATCCTAGCTCACAGCAACCTCCAACTCTTGGACTCAAGACTCAAGCTATCTCTTGCCTTAGTTTTGTCTATTTTTAGTAGAGATGGGTGTCTCACTTTTGCTCTGTCCGGTCTTGAACTCCTGAACTCAAATCAATCCACTGGCCTCCCAGAGTGTTAGGATTATAGGCATGAGCCACGGAGCCCAGCCATATTTGTCTCCTTTCCAAAGTTCTTCACATACACATCCCCATACACACATAAACACACACTCTAAATGTATTTTCCTCTGTGTTGTGCCAAGTATTTATTGGGAGCTCTAATCCAGATTGCTTTAAAGGAGACCCATTTTGGATCCAAATTTGCATGATTTACCAAGTTACAAGATAATCTAAAAGGCTCTTTGACCTGGATACGAGTTCTCAGGATTATTCAAATTCATACTTTTTGGTTATCTCTTAGACTAAACACCCATATGTGACAAGCCTTAGGTATGTTCGACCCACCTATCTGAGCAAGTCCCCTTAACTTCTGTTTCCTATAGCTACTGAAAAACTGATATTCCTGAGAAAGAGAGTTGAAGATTTGATCTTGGACATCATATTTGCCAGCTCAAAGTAGTGCTGCTGGTCTGCTACATTAGTTTAGTCATAAATACTTTGAAATCAGAATGGTAAGTGCATTCTGAAATGTCTCAGATGAGCAAATACTTGGCTCACACAGCTAAGTCAGAGCTATCATTTAAGATGTGGGTGTTTTTTCTAATATAGTTAAAGTCTTTCAGGGAGTAAATATTTTATTAATATGTGACCTCATATGGAATATGTGGAATAAAACATGAATTTGTAATCTGTGCACATGCTGTTTGCAAAGCAAATCATTTTCAAATGATGAGATGTTTCTTGGCTTTTATTCATACATATTTTTTTAAATAATTATATTTAAACATGAGATATTACTCATAGTTTTATCAAATTATGGACTGATATTTTGGCATAGCATCTGTACAAGAAAATAAGTTTATAATTTTCTTGTTTTCTTTTCATTGCTAGAAGTATACTGACAGAATTTAATAATAAATAACTTAAGATGTCAGAAACAGAGTTTTTAAATACACCAACTGCTTTTCTCAATTATTTGAGAAATTTCTTCCAAACTACTGAGTTTTGCTTTGCTTCTAAATTCATATAATTCTAATGATTTCAGTGCCATAAAATATATTAACCTTTAGGATTTTTCTTTTTTGTTTGGTTTTAAAGTTGAAGAAAATCCAGAAGGTATCATTTCTGTGAGCCAAGTTAAGCAAGAACCCAAAGAACCAGCATTGTCTATGGAAAGAAAAAGAAATATGGACTGTAAAAAATTATCTGCTACATAAATTATTGAAGCTTTTCAGAATTTACAACTTTGGTGACTTCTGATGTTATAGAAAAGAAGGTGAATATTGTCAAAGTGCAGCATTGTGATAATTGGACTGAAGACTGATTTGATGGGAAGCTTTGATTTAAAACTGATATGTTTATTGTGAATTCCATATTTTTACCTTGAGATATTTTGCTCTTCTTATTTTGTATAATTTTTATGCTTTTGATTATCTAATAAGGCCAGTATTTCATAAGTTCTTCTGAATTAATCCAAGTAATATAGTCTGAATACAAATAGTTACCTTATTCATCCTTGGAAATATCCAATTTTGGTTCTTTAAAGACAAAAAAGAACAACAACAACAACAACAAAAAGAATGTGTGAGTGTATGTTTGTATGTGTGTATGTATGTCATGATTTTTTTTTAAGTTCTGAAAGACCTTATTCTCTCTGTAGTTAAAGTTGTGAAGAAATTTTTAATTGGCAGACAGTTAAGAGAATATTTGTAGTCTATTTCATTTAGAAAGATGAAGCAATAGATTTTAATCATGACATAAAGCCCAACAGTCACATCTGTGGCAACCATAAATTGCATTTTAGCTTCTTCTCTTCCAGTTTTTATACTTTTAACTACAAACTAATAGCATACTAATTTCATAGAAATTTAAAGTGGCATGGTAAATACTAAGAATTTTAACTTGAATTACTCAGATAATGCCAGGCACAGTGACTCAGCCTTTAATCTCAGCACTGTGGGAGGCCAGGCAGGTGGATTTCCTGAGTTCTGGAGTTCAAGACCAGCCTGAGCAAGAGCAAAACACTGTCTCTAAAAACTAGCTGGGGCAGGACCAGCACAGTGGCTCACGCTTGTAATCCCAGAACTCTGCTAGGCCAAGGTGGGCAGATCACCTGGGCTTATGAGTTCAAGATCATCCTGAGCTAAAGCAAGATCCCGCCTCTAAAAATAGCTGGATATTGGGAGAGGGCACCTGTTACCACAGCTTCTCAGGAGGCTGAGGCAAGAGAATTGCTTAAGCCCAGGAGTCTAAGGTTGTTGTGAACTGTGATGCCATGGCACTCTACTGGAGTGACAAAGTCAAACTCTGTCTCTAAAAAAATAAATAAAAAATAGCTGGGTGTTGAAGGTGCCTGTACTCCCTGCTACTTGGGAGGCTGAGACAAGAGGATCACTTGAGCCCAAGAGTTTGAGGTTGCTGTGAGCTATAATGGCACTGTACTCTACAGAAGGTGACAAAAAAAAATAGATGAACATCAGAAATCAATGTATGCATCATGTATTTATACTGTATTAGATGTAAAAACACTTTAAGGAGAAATTGAGAGAATTTGAAAAGAATAATAGAATCCCTTGGTGTTTACAGTTAGTTTGGGTAACTTTCTGATGACAGCAGAAGATTTATCCCCCTTTTTTTGTATTGAAGATTCAGTTCCAGTTAAAAAAGAATTTTAGTTGTATTTACATTTTTCTATGCCAGAGTTCTTACTGAATTGATGGTAATAGGATTTATAGTATTTCAAGGTAAGTATTTGTAGTTTAAAATTTAGTTCATATTTAAAACTTTAAAATGTCTGATCTGCTATATTTCCTTGTTAAATAAGTATATTTACTTCAATTATCAAATAATGACTAAGTAGTATATTCATTACTATATATTAGAATCTGTTTTCTTAAAGATTGGTAAACTAGAAATGTCAATTATAGCTGTCAAGAAACCAACCCATAGGGTTTTATTTTTCCAGAGATCATTTGTAGATAATTTTAAATTTTGTTTAAAAAAATTTCAAGTGGATATTAATATTTAATATTCAGAGCATACACACTATAATGTGATTTATATCATTTAAGAGAAGTCATTGATAAATTAATTCATTACATGAATGCAAGTCACTTTAGGCCTTTCTAAGTTCAGTTTCCCATTCCTAATTCACTTTGTTTCAGGTACATGACATGTTATCTAAATATAAAACACTGTTAAAATAGAAGTAGGTGGAATTCTGGGCAGCACCTCTGGCTCGGTGAGTCGGGCACCAGGCCCATATACCGAGGGTGGGGGGTTCAAACCTGGCCCCAGCCAAACTGCAACAAAAAATAGCTGGGCGTTGTGGCGAGCGCCTATAGTCCCAGCTACTCAGGAGGCTGAGGCAAGATAATCACCTAAGCCCAAGAGCTGGAGGTGGCTGTGAGCTTGGACGCCACAGCACTCTACCGAGAGCTACAAAATAAGACTCTATCTCTAACAAATAAAAAAGAAATAGGTGGAATTCTAAAATTCCTTGATCTTTAGATTTATATTTAATAAAAAGTTTATTATTTATACCTTATTTAATGAAAAGTTAATGTTTACTTATATATATATATATTTTTTTTTAATAAGAATTGCTTTTCTTTTTCCCTAGAATTGAAAGTATTTGATGTCAGCTTTTATAGAGGCAGGTTGCACTTAAGTTGCCTCAAATCAAGATTCTCTTAGTTTATGTGTACTTAAAAGGAATAAGTTCAAAATAATTTATAATTTAGTGTTGCATTATAGGTGATATTGTTTTCATTTGTTATTTCTACTTTTATTGAAACTTTTTTCAAGATATTAAATAATCTTCACCTTCAAATGTTAGTAATGGTTTATTATCAAATATTTTACCAATTGAATTATATTCTTTTGGAGGCTTTCTTTTTTGATGTTGAATTGCTAAGGAGAAATACTTGTTAATGTATAAAATCAGGTACATTGCCTATGAGGATGAGAGATGTCTGAGGATTCCAACATTAGCATAGTTAAAAACTTCTTCTCTCAGGCCAGGCACAGTGGCTCATGACTATAATCTTAGTACTTTGGGAGGCTGAGGGAGGTGGATTGCCTGAGCTCACAGGTTCTAGACCAGCCTGAGCCAGAATGAGACCCCATCTCTAAAACTAGCTGGGCATTGTGATGGGCACCTGTAATCCCAGCTGCCTGGGAGGCTGAGGCAAGAGAATTGCTTGGGCCCAAGAGTTAGAGGTTGCCCTGATCTATGACGCCATGGCACTCTACCAAGGGTGATGTAGTGAGACTCTGTCACAAAAAAAAAAAAATACTTCTCTCACTTCATTCTGTGTGTATGTCTCTTCTGATACTGCTTTTTGATTATGAGGACAGAAAGTTAAAGTGCATCCTCCCCAAAAGAAATAAAAAACAAAACCGAAGTCCCTCACAAAAACCAAGAACATGAAGAAGGACTTAAATCCCTAATTGTATACTCTTTTGGTTTTAGGTAGAAACTGGAACTATCAGTATTTTCATGTAAGTATTTCAATGAGTAGCTCTGTAAAAATGATTTTTAAATGAGTTTATAAAAATTCATTGTCCTCTAAATGCATGTTTAGTCACAATGTATCAGTATTGTGTTTAAAGGTGCCATGTTTACATATTTAAATGTTTATTTTTACATGCATAGAGTATATGCAAGTGCATAATTTTCAGTGTCTGTATTTGGCATTCTCCTAACAGCTCTACAGCAGAGTTTGACATATGTTCTTTTGTGTCATGTATTAGAAAGCGTACCGTCTGTAGGCGTGGGTCAGACGTTCACAACAAGCAGTTAGAAATTCACAATTACAGTTCAGCCTATCTCTTCATTGTAGTTTTCATGTTCCAAACCTCCAACTGAACTTAATATATTCTACAGCGAATTATAAACACAGCCACAGTGAGCCTTTTCCTCAATAGCAATTTTCTGTGTATCCACTTAGTATACTTAAAAAGTTTTTATACTTTATGCAAGGTAAATGTTTCCTAAATGTCACAAAAGTGATTAAAAACAGACTTGGAATCTGGTCCTGCATTCGGAGTTTGTAATTTGAGGCCCACCAGCATGTTTTCATCTTCTTTACATTCTGTCAAAAATAAATACACAATCATGTGGGTATGAGAAAGATGTTTCATTTGTACCAGGTTTAAAAAGAGGTTAAAAAAATGTGTATATATATATTGTATAGTGTCCTTGTTATAATGTAATTTTTTCCATTAAAAATCCTGTTATTTTTTTCTTGTTAGTTTTATTTTTATACTTTTCCTGGAGATAGTGGTAGTTTTGTTCATCTTAAAGATGCTGAATAAACCCTTTAATACCTGAGAATTTTGGGTAGAGATTTATGTTTATTGGGAACCTGGACATGTTTAAGCATAACTACCAGTGACTCCTATTAGCATTATATTTGGGGATATATATGCATTTAGTACTCTGCAACTTAGCCAAACATCAACATTTTAAAACAAGATATAAGCAAATCATTTTTATCGTACATTTTGATACTGTGACATCTTCAAGTATAGCTTTATATTTGAGGATTGATGATGGAAGTAGTAAGGAAAAGTAATTATTAATCTTTTTCTCTCTTTGCTTTATTCTACTCTGTAGCTGTTTTTAAGGTCCATAGAAAATCTTAATCTCTCCAGAATAAGGACTACATTGGCTCTTTCCCATCAACTGGTTTAGGATTCAGACATCTTAAATGATATATTGGTGGCATATGCAACCATCTGTAATTTTACTTAATTAACTTAGTAACAAAGACAAAGCCCTAGTACACTTTGCCACATCCATGTTAGCTATGAATTTTATTGCTGAATAATATAAGTGTTCATTGCAAGACTGAATTGTTAAAAGATGAGGAATAGAAGAAACTTACACATTAAAGGATAGGATAAAGTGATTCCTGACAAATGTAAATAAATTGGCCAGGCAAGGTGGCTCACGCCTGTAATCTTAGCACTTTAGGAGGCCAAAGAGGGAGGATTACTTGAAGTCAGGAGTTTAAGACCAGCCTTAAATGATATATTGGTGTAATATAAAACCATCTGTAATTTTACTTAATTAGTCATCTTAAGTTCTTAAGACCTGCCTGAGCAAGAACAAGACTCCATCTCTACTAAAAATAGAAAAAAAATTAGTTGGGGTTGGTGGGAGGTACTTTTAGTTCCAGCTACTCAGAATACTTAGGCAGGAGGATCACTGGAGCCCAGGAGTTTGAGGTCATAATAAGTTATGATGACACCGCTGCACTCTACCTTGGGTGATAGAGTGAGATTTTTGTCTCAGATAGATAGCTAGTATGGTTAGTACAGAAAACCTGTGGGAATGTGATATGGGTATAAGAATACTAACACCATGCTCGGCACCTACGGCTCAAGTGGCTAAGGTGCCAGCCACATACACTTAAGGTGGTGGGTTCAAATCCAGCCCAGACCCACCAAAACAACAATGACAGCTGCAACCAAAAAAATAGCTGTGCATTGTGGCGGGCACCTGTGGTCCCAGCTACTTGGGAGGCTGAGGGAGGAGACTCACTTTAGCCCGAGAGTTGGAG